AATTCCATAGCTGCTAAAGTTCATTCATCGGTACTAAATCCATAGCTACCAGTGTTAAGCTAATAGGTACTAAATCCATAGCTACCAACGTTTATTTAACAGTACTAAGTCCATAGCTAAACGTTTATCTAACAGGTACTAATCCATAGCTACCAATGTTTATTCGATAGACACTAAGTCCATAGCTGCCGATGTTAGTTTGTTAGGCACTAAGTCTTAGCTGCAATGTTCACTCATATCATCTTTCATCTCTCATCATTCATCTACCCATGCTTTACCCAACATATTCGTAGATATAAAATACATATACAGTTTAAATTATATAAAACATGTATAAAATCGTTCATCCAGCATAGAAAGCAAGTATTCAAATAATATGCACACATAGCACGTAATTTATATAAAATACTTCATATCTATGTGTAAGATGAAAGTAACTATGCACTCACTTGTTAATTGATGATTCCAACTCGGACAGCGCTTCACTTCTTAACAATATAATTTCCTTCGACGAAACCTATTATTATTACCACTAGATTTTAGTCTAATATTTAACGTGACTAATTATTAGTCTTAGCATTATTATTATTATTATTATTATTATTATTATTATTATTATTATTATATAAGCGTTTAAACAATATTTTCCAACCACTATGTACAGACATGGACCAGAAATAAAACACCGGAGGGCACTACCATTTTGGCATATAGCACTTCTGAAATCCAACAACCCTATGCGGCCCTTTAAACCAGTTTCCCAGTACCCGCAGTAGTTAAAAAAGATATTATAACGACACTTATATAAGTCATAATAATAGCCCAAATATTTATTATAAGTTCATAATAACAATACTAATTTTAAATATAAGTTTATATTTAAAATATGGAAGCATAACTTACTTACAAGAGAGTTTTAGCTAGGAGTCGGGCTCTGCAGGGGCAGAACTTCGTCGCTGATCTTTCTAAGAAAGATTGTTGCAGCGGGTCATCAGCGCTCACCTTACTATACTAAAACTACAGAAAGGAAGTCGAATCACGAGGGACCCGAAATGCTCGGGGGATAAGAAGGGAAAGACTTTTGAATTAAGAGAATGGTGCAAGAAATATGAGAGCTAGAGGCTCTTATTTATAGTGATTGAATATTCAAAAACTACCCTCCATAGTTACTTAATGACCTTGTAGTTATATAAATGACTAAACACCCTTTTATAATACTATTTTAAATAGATTTAATGATATTTGTACTAAACTAATGTTGAAAGTACTCAACACTAGTCTTATAACGACCGCATCGTCGATGCCTTTCTAACGATATACATATGTAATATGTATGGTAAGTATATATGATTTACACTTTATTTTAATACGTAAATGTGCTATTAAAAATTATAACTCGTTCATACAAACTTCGTTTTTGACGTTCTTTATATACATGCGTAGCTATCGACGAGATATACAACTTTCGTTTAGACTCCGTCGGCTAATTTTGAATTTATATTTTTGTCCATTTTTTTATAAAATTAAATGATTTTGCTAAAATCATAACTCTCTCGTACGGAATCCGTTTTTGGCATTCTTTTTTTCAAAATTCATATTTTAAGGAGTACTACGATTTTCATTTTGGTCGGATTAGCTAAAAGTCAACCATTCTCTTCGTAGCTTTTTACGTCATACATTCGTTGTGCGCGACTGACTTTTATATCTTATAAAAACCATATCTAATTCATACGGATTCGGATTTCGACGAAATTTATATTTTCGGGATCGGGACGACGAATACTTCCTAAATATAGAATAAATATAGATATATAAGATATATATTATATAGATAGATATATATATATATATATATATATGTTTTGACACACTTATTTTTACGATTTACGGACGATTTGACTGATTTTTCATATTTTATTATATTATAATAATCATAAAACATATAATATTCAAGTAATTATTCTTTATTACGCCGAATAGGTTACAATTGTTAACCCTAACTATTACTTTGGTTAAGATTATTTATCCTAGATAATCTTCTATATAAAAAAAATCATTTTTAACGCTTATTATTTTAATTGAGTAGCCCGAATCTGCGGGTGTTACAACATAAATATTATTTTAAGTAAAAAGGTGACATATAAAACAATATGAAAACATCAATATTAAAAAAGTATAATGATCATAATCTGAAGAACATTCTCATTTTCACTGTTGAAGAGACTTTAAAAAAGATCTGTGATACAATCTTTCATGTTAATGTGGATCTAATTAGCCACATCGTCCTAAAGCCATATCAATTTTAGTTAGCAAGCTATAAAATTTCAAGACTTTTATCATATTTATGAACCGATAATAAAAACATGAGTTAGCTTTCAACCAAGATTTACTATCAATAATGCATTTAAACTCCGAGAAGAACAAAAGATGAAACACAAAATACTAACAAAAAAACCAAAACTTGTTTTAGAAACTAGGGTTTCAAACAAAAAGAACGCTATAAAGAAAACACAATAATCAAGGAAAAAACGTTCAAATCGAGTTTACTTGCTTCCATTAACTTAGGAACTATAACATAAATGTGTAATAGATCTCAAAGTTTGATGATATTAAAAGAACAAAAGCTTAAATACTAAGTTTCAGATTGATTTTCAAACAAATTAAGTAAGTACAAGTAAAAGAAGATCAAAGATGAAACAAAAAGTAACAAAAACCCCGAAAACACTTCTAAAACTAGGGTTTCAAACAAAAAAACGAAGAAACATTTTAAAAACAGAAATAATCAAAGAAGAGGTACTCAAATCAAGTTTACCTTGTTACATTGACTTCAAATCTATGTTCAACCAGTCTTAGTGTTCGAAGAAATTGAAAGAAAAAAGGTAAAATACAAAGATCTGGAGTAATTTCCATAATAAACATCGATTTCAGATGAGTTTATGAGATTTGAAACGAAATTTAAATACAATTTAGTAGATTTGAGAGAGACGGAGGAGAAAAGAAGAAAGAAAGCTGCCAATAAAGAATTTTTTGCTGAAGCACTTGAATTAGGGTTTTCTAATGCATTATTGACAAGTTTGTCCTTAAATAGTTTTCCCTTAAGAAGAAAAGCAGAAAAAGTTATCAATAATTTTAAAATTGCCACCGCAAATTTGAAATGAAAAAAGAAAAAATCTGATTTACCATAGCCACACATATTTCAAAATCAATGGTCAAAAAGTGTCCTCGCGGTTCCTACCGTTTTTTGGGTTTCTATCCGATCCTATATATATATATATATAATATTATATATATATATATATATATATATATATATATATATATATATATCACAGGTAAATGTCATTGGTCGGTTTCGATGGGTCGATTTGTCGATTTTAAGTGTGGGTGGGTTTCTCGATTTGGATGGGTCTGTTTTGGATAAAAACTGATTTTTCGGTTTTTAAAAATTTTAAAAGCTAACCGTTGGTTTTGCTTCGATTTCGGTTTCATCGGTTTTGATCGGTGTATTGGTTTAGATTTGCTTACCCCTAACAAGTATAAATACAAAACAAATACATAATAGCCAAACATGGGCTGGCGTGCCTATACTAATACAATACATATGGGCTAATATTTACACATATATTATAGGGCTAAAAGATTCTTATTGGTTTTAATTTGTAGATAGAGCATAGTAGGAGCATATCAACAACTTGTACAAACACAATAAAAATCATTTGGAGATATGAAAAAATTGAGGGATGGGAGATATGCATATCATAATTTATATTTGGTTCTGACAATGTACATATTCCTGTGATTCAGATTCCATTCTTTAAATAGAATAAAAAAAGGTAAATATATAACAATAATAATATATTTGATGTATACTAATTTTTATTTTAAAGAATACACTTTATTACATAAATTAACAATGTGCTTTTGTTTTTATCAAATATAAGACAAAAATGTCTTGCTCACGGATAGGTAATAGACACAAGGCAAACGCCAATTTGATTTTACTAACGTTTACATTAATTAATACTAATATTTTAAGATAAATTAAACTTATCTCCTTGTCAAGTATCATTTGAAATGTTAATGTTTCTAGAAGACATCAAGAACTTAAGACGGCAAAACTTTTGTCGTTAATTCAACATGTCATTGATGACATCTTCATGGCTTCATAATTAAAACCATTACATATTCATATATAAATATGCAACAATCACAAAAACTTGATAACCTACTTATAATCAACATGGAAACGAAAGAAATGGTGGTGTTAGTGGTGCCGTTTGTAGCACAAGGTCATCTCAACCAACTCCTCCACCTCTCCCGTCTTCTTTCCTCTTATAATCTACCAATCCATATCGTCGGCACCACCACCCACAACCGCCAAGCAAAGCTTCGTATCCATGGTTGGGATCCCACCTCCGCCACTAATATTCATTTCCATGAGTTTGAGACACCCAACTTCGAATCCCCTCCTCCAGACCCTAATGCTTCCGACAAATTCCCTTCACACCTTCTTCCATCATTCCATCTACCATCTCATCTTCGTGAACCTTTTGCAAAACTATTGGCTGATATTGCTCCCACAACCAGGCGAGTTATCATCATTCATGACTATCTAATGAGCTTAGTCGTTCAAGATGTAGTTTCATATGAAAATGCAGAAGCTTATGTCTTCCATTGTGCTTCGGCTTTTACCACGTTCTCGTACTTGTGGGAAGAGAAAGGAAAACCATGCTTAGGATGATGATGAATCATACAAGCATCTCACAAAGGTCCCTGCTTTTGAAGGTACTATACCAGCAGAATTTATAGAATTCATTACGAGTCATCAAGTCTGCAATACGTTTAATTCGGGAAATCTTCATGACACATGCAACGTTTTCGATAGGAAATTCATCGACTTTCTTGCGAAAGAAGGATTGTCTGGAAGTACAAAGCAATGGGCTATGGGTCCTTTTAATCCAGTGGCCATAAGCGATAAAGAAAACCTTGGGAAACGTCACATGTCGCTAGAATGGCTTGACAAACAAGCTCAAGACTCTGTGATATATGTTTCTTTTGGCACAACGACTTCATTGTCCGATGATGAGATCCGAGAACTAGCTAATGGTTTAGAGAAAAGCAAACAAAAGTTTATTTGGGTTATACGAGATGCTGATAAAGGAGATATTTTCAATGGTGAAGTTAGGAGAGTTGAATTGCCTAAAGGATTTGAAGAGCGACTTCAAGAAAAAGGATTGGTGGTGAGAGAATGGGCACCCCAATTAGAGATACTGTCTCACCCTTCAACAGGTGGATTTATGAGTCACTGTGGCTGGAACTCGAGTATGGAGAGCATCACCATGGGAGTTCCTATGGCTACATGGCCAATGCATTCAGATCAACCAAGAAATGCTGTACTAGTAACAGAGGTGCTAAAGACTGGCATAAGCGTAAGGGATTGGGAGCTTCGTGGTGAGCTAGTAACGTCTTCAACTATTGAAACAAGTATTCGGAAATTGATGGCTTCTGATGAGGGAGATGCCATAAGGAAGAGAGCTGCTAAACTTGGCGATGATGTTAGGCGGTCGGTAGAAAAAGGTGGAGTAACACGCATGGAGATAGATTCATTTATTGCTCATATTACTAGATAGGATTTGTGTCCCTACTTAAAAAAAAGCTTTGTTACTTTGTGTATTCTCAAGAGAAGTAGTAAGAAAACAAGAGAATCCATAAATTTCTTATGGAAAAGGTTGCACTAAATCAATGTAAGGGGTTCAATGTAATAGTTATATTCTATCATATTAAATTAATTTGAATTTATTATTTTGTTAATATAAAGAAAAAAAAAAGAGTTAGATGTATACTTTCATCCATGTAGGACAAACCAAGGACACGAAAAAGTTAATTTGGAAGTGGTGTTTCCAGTGGCGGACGGGTGAGTAACGCGTAAGAATCTGCCTTTGGGAGGGGAACAACACCTGGAAACGGCTGCTAATACCTATTGCATTTCGAAAATTCCAAAGGCTCCACCACATGATCCGCCCGAGGAGGGGCTCGCGTCTGATTAGCTAGTTGGTGAGGTATTCTTATTAACAAACGTAATATATGAATAGTCAATCAATATATCAACCAACTAATTTCTTGTAACATTGATCACTAAAAACTATTGCATTTCGAAAATTCCAAAGGCTCCACCACATGATCATGACTATATATAGAATCCATACTTGTTCTTTTCATATTGGAAAGAGGAACCGTGTCAATCCAATGAATAACATCTTCGGGATTCATAAAAACCGAAATATTCACACCACTTTCCAATAAATCTCCAAAGATCCAACGCCACTTGACATGAAATGAAAACATGAGTGTTGTCTTCGATATCTAAATTGCATATGCCACACCCAATAGTTAGAATATCCATGCCTTTCAAATCCAAGTTTAACCTAGTAGGAAGTCTCGTTTGCCGTTTCGCCAATTTAAAATGTTTAATTTACTTAGAATGAACTTATTACACCTTGTAGGAATGGTACCTTCCGGGAGAATATAATTGTCTATACCTCTTCTAGCTTCCGAAATCATTAAACTATCATTGACACCAGAATTCCAAACCCACCAATCTTTTAAACTCGTAAGGTGCAACTAAGAAGTAACTCACTTAACTGTTGAACAAGAGAAATAAGAGTTCATGTAATAATCGGCCTAGTCCAATCCTACTCCCACGTGACTTCATTCCATCTATCGTTTATAATACAATCTTTTTTCGTTTCTAAAACATACAATCTTGGAAATTGTCTCATCAAAGTGTTGTCTCCTATCCATTGATAACATAGAAGACCTATCTCCAATAACCCTTTAATGACATTATTAACAACAATCTCAGATTCATGCACTTGGTTAATTGTACCAATAATCTTGGACCAAACCCCCTTAGTCGACATAGCTCTAAGTCGACTCGATCCAAATCCCCCCTATCATACATGAAGACATATTATTGTTGAGAAACACCATTTCCATTTGAACAAAAGGTCCTTATTAAACGTATCTAAAGATCCAATATCCAAACCACCATTAATTTGATTAGCCAATACAACATCCCAATTAATCCAATGAAGTTTTCTATCACCTTAGTCCTCACCCCAAAAAAACATATCTCTCAATTTCTCTAGATATTTATTGACAACACCATGCATGCGAAATAATGACATATAATAAATACATAGGCAGCCCAACACCGAGTTCAACATCATAAATCGACCCTTAGTAGAAGGTAACTTGATTTTCCAGGAAGAAAGCCTTTGTTTAAATATATTTATGACACTTTACCATCCTGAAAACCATGACATCGTAGCCTCAATTGGTAAGCCCAAATTCAAAAGGCAACTTGTACGCATTTACACCTGTTAGAACTGCTAATCGTTCCACATAAGGAAATGGAACATTAACACCGAAAATATTTGATTTTTGCAAGTTCACTTGTGGGCTCGAAACCATTAAGAATCAATAGAGAATACCAATCAAATTAATGATATTTTCCTTACTCCAGTCGCCAAAAAATAATGCATCATTAGCATAAAGAAGATGTGAAAGATGTAAATTATCAATTCCTAGATAAATACCTCTATATAATCCAACTTCTACCGCATCTTCCATTGCAACATGCAATCCTTCCATTTCCTGTATGAAGAAGAAAGGAGATTGGGGATCTCCTTGTCTCAACCCATATTTTACAAGGGAACTCGTCAGTATGGCATCTATTAAACAAGATAGATGAATGAACATTAGATAGAAAAGCTCTAATTAAGTAACTCCATTTCTCAAAGAAAACCATGAATGACATTATTGTAAAAAGAAAATCCCAAGAAATCAAATCATAAGTTTTCTCTAAATCAACTTTAAATATCATGAGTTTTACTTCTTCAACTTACACCAATCAACCACTTAATTTATAACAACCGACCCAACTTTAAATATCATGAGTTTTTCTTCTTCAACTTACACCAATCAAGCACTTAATTTGCAACAACCGACCCATCAAGGATTTGTCTTTCTTTAATGAAAGTCGACTGCTATGAACTCACCATTATATCAACCATATTTGCTAATCAAAGTGCTAAAAGCTTTGCAATGATCTTATACTGGATGACAATAAGAGTAATGGGTCGATAATCTTTGATACCAAGAGGATTTATCATCTTAGGAATCAAGGTGATAAAAGAAGAATTACAACCATAAGGGATATGATTCGAATTAAAAACTCTAATACGAAGGTATAAATGTCATGCAGAAGTAAGTCCTAATACCTTACGACAAAAGCAAAAGTAAAACCATATGGTTCTAGTGCCTTGTCACTTCTACACATCCATAAAGCATCCTACACTTCCTCAATGGATGGAACTACATCCAACATATGTGTCTCATCCGAGTCTAAACTTTTAAAAGAAGAGCTACGCGTATTCCACCGAACCCCATTAAACTTCTTAAACATCTTCTTGTAGTATTGTACAAATTAGGATTTAACCCTATTAGATTGTGTGACCGGCTCATCATCCACCCATATACCTTTATTAGTTTTTTTTTCATTTGATAATCGATGAAAATAATTTGTAGTTTCATTTCCTTCCATGAACCACTTAATTTTACATTTTTGAGCCACATCACTACATTCACTCTTCTCCATATCATATAATTGGGCAAGGATTTTTTTTGTCACTCTATATCAAACAAAACATCTGAGAGTCGAGACCATCTTGCATGAGCTTATCAATCTCCGATAACCTACACTTGACCTCTATCTTCTCGGTTTTTGCAACAATATTGAAAGAACACTTCAATTCCTTGGTTTTAGCTTTAAGAAAATTTAATTTATCTTTGAAATAAATAAGATAATTTAAATTATCTCCTTGAAAATCAGCCCATGCATTTCGAACAACCTCATCAAAGACGTCAATATCTAACCATGAATCAAAAAACCGAAATGGGGACGACCCATAATCATGCGAAGTGTTCTTAAAAAGTATGGGGATATGGTATGAGATCGCTCTATCCAACACAAACACCATAATCTCATCAAATCCATTAATATCTTTCTTTTTGGGTTGGCGATGATGGGGAAGGAGCGGTGTGTTTGAGCAAGTGTGACCATCTGATAGTTTATTAACTTGAAATTAATAAGTGTATTTATCTTTTATAGCCCTTAACTGCCATTTGCAATTTTTCACAAGTAAAATATCTCCCAACCCGTCTTTTGTAGATTTTCTCACTCTTATTTGAAACCCCCAATAACACATTTGAATCCAAATTTAAGCTTAATGTCTTCTTTACTTTTGAAGAGTTGAAAATGCTTCACATAAGAAGAATAATTATGGGATACACCACCTTTAGGTTTTTGTTTTGATAATCCAGGAAAAGGTAAGGGTTTAGGCATCCCCCGATGATCGATTTGTGTTTCTTTAGAATCTGAAAAATAATAAGTATACTTTTCCTGCCGAGATTTTGGGGCTTGCGGAGCTCAGTTTCATCTTCTTTAGATTCAGTCTCATCCCCAACAAATTCAGTGAAGCTATGGAATTATTCAACAGGCTCTTAATGTGGAATTATATTACAATCATCAACCAAGAACATGAGTTTTGTCTGATCATATGTAGATTCATCAACATAAAAAGTTGGACCAACATCATCAAAAACCTTTACATTTATACCTAAAATCACACGTTCTACAAATCCATTGTAACAAGGAACATGATTTAATGTCATAGGTAATAAATTACAAATTTGGTTACTTTCGGAACCGAAAGACCCATTACCACCATAATGATTCCCCCTTGAAAATCGATTAAGACCAGTTTCCATAACATGATTAACAACAAATAGTTATACTGTGGTAGAAGACATACTACTAACAAAACTACGAAAATATTTGACATCACTATCGTCAAGAATCTACATAACTATGTTTGATATAATATATTGGAAATATAGACTTATTTGATTAGTATGTAACGTGGGCTAGGAAGCAACTAACGTAATTCATCCACAAAAATTTGATATTACTACTTATATCTACACCAAAGCATGTGTAGTCTAGAGCAATATAATACATATATCTATTGATTCATTTTCACTGCCTTCTACTACTGGTACTCTAAAAAACATCCTTATATGTACTTATTTTTTTAGTATCCAAAAGTTTTATGGGTTTATGCAGCAATAATGATAATACAAATACCCTAATATTATTAGTCTGGAACATTACTCCAGAATGCACGTTGTTGCTATGTGGAGTCCTGGATGCTTGTCTGGCTATCCCATCGTGGGCTTCCTCCAATGAGCAGTCTAGGCAACACGTATAATGTTAACAAAAGGTAGGTTAGAAAGCCATACCGATGGTGGAACCTCGATATTTCTCTCTGATTCCTAAGTTATATGTCATATTTAGGACATGGATATGGGTTAGGTATGATTGCAGATAGTGCTTGCTTACCTTGGTTTGGTTGGAAACTTGATTTATAGTTAGAACCTGGACGGGTTCATGGCTTTTTCTTCTGGGCCTTGCGTTGGTCCTTAGGTTGTAAGGTGATACTTCTTTTTAATAAAATAGGTTTTCCTTTTCTATATTTCCTGGGGATGCTTCATAGATTATGTACGAGAG